TTAGCCTGTTGTAGCTTCAGTCGGAGGATTACCACCCTTCCGCTGAGAGGCTTCCAATCGATTATTCTATTGGCAAGGTTGGGTTCTACCAGAACGCCAACACCGACCTGAGCGCTAGTCGTGATATCGACGCCTGAGTAGAACAGCTTCCATCCATTGAGGTTCAAGTGTTCAGAGCCTGGGCGTTTTGTTGACGAGAGTCCAACGATGTCGTGTTAATACTACGTGGCCTCGTCAACTAATTCTTGTTCTTTTCCTCTGAATGAGGATATGTTCCAATTTCCGACTTTAAACTACCACTAGTGGTGTCGCTCTCGTGGAGCCTTTTCTGACGTGCTGTAATGGCATCGCGCTGTCTACTACCTCCTTTCAGAACGGGCAGCGACTCCTTTGCTCACTGGTATGTTCTTCAGCCGTTGCTGTAGTGCTACGCCCCGCCTGCTAGAATTTGATGAGCAGGTTCCGATTGCTGTTTTTTTCAACCATCGTCAATCCTCCAACAGCCTGGGGCTGCCCTTGGTAACACCGGGTGCGACTGAGGCGGCATAATTTTCGACGACGGCAATACGATGAAGGACAGGTGGGAGCATATTAAAAGTGAGTTTGTTAAAACAAAGAGTTCGCCACGGTCTCCATCCCTCCTTCTTTCTCTGTTGGTTGCAATTTCCAGTTGGCAGCTGATTTCTGTTTGCAGTCCTTGAATTTCATGCGCGTTAATATGAACTTAGTTTTATGGGTTTGAATTGTAATCTCTTCCATGCCGTCGTATGTTAAACACGAAAAAATTTAGTTGTCAATGTATGTAGCTGTTCCGGATTGTAATTGTTTTTACTGATGGTGCATTAATAACCTATGACGAGCGTAAGCAGATTTCAGCTAAGCGAAATTCAGTATATGTATATTAAAACGAAACTGAACTTACCCCATCCAGGCATTGACGGGCTACCTTTGCATATACTCCAAGGAGACCACATTCCCCAACCTCCACCAAAGCCTGCACCTCCACCACCAATACAAGATCCACCCATGCAACCACCTCCTCCGTGACCATATCCGCCATACTGCCTGCGAACTCCTATAAGTTTCCGATGTACAATCGAATCAAGGAGGATGCGTACAACGGCAGCTACTTATGTCGCTTATTTTTTTCTTTTTTGAATTCTGGCAAGACTTGAGAAGCTGAAACACGTCGCTATCTTTATTATTGACTCTGACTACGGCGTCTTCGATTCCTCTCCTGTATAGCTTGCACGTTGGATGACCGGATGAAACGGAATAAGAGGCGAATTCGCAGTTTTCCTCCTCATGTAGAACACATGCCAGCATGCACGACCGTGCGTCAACCAGTTTGCTCTGAGCCATCGGATTTTCTTTCGTGACAACGCTACCTTGGTATCGGTTAACGCAGAATGTCTCTAAAATAAAATGATCGTTTAAGCGCTATTCACTGCTAAAAGCAAACAAGACAATTAATATAATGATAGTCAACTGTAGTGTCAACGTACAAACTCTCTGGTTAAAAAGTGGCATTTCAATAGAAGCCAGAGCACAAAATGTACTTGTAAAGAATAACACTCCATTTAGACGGGGGGGGTGACATGCATCGACAAATCATCCAGTAAGAAAACAAACCATCGCCCCTAAGGAGGTCACAGAACAGTGGTACGAGGCCTCGGGGATTGTGCAATACGTAGCGAAGAAAGGTCACGTTCCCCAGTAGTCATATTGTAGGGCATTGTTGAAGAAAGGAACTGCCTGAAAAAGCGAATCAAAGAGGCTTTAATGTAATCCTGCAAAAATGTCAACCAGGACAAGGGATGCAAAGTTTGTATGCATTGAACAGGCCTTGTCAATCCAGTTATCGAAAAACTGCTCAACCATCAGCATGGGCCTAAGTCTTTGGCTCTGAAAGTCATGAAAGCTGCGGACCCACAGAACCAAGTGGAAAAATGAACCCGGACTACAGAAAATAAAGCTCGTGAGAGATGAGCAGAATCGTCGGTTACGGATCAATCACCCGATTGACCAATTTGCGTGCGTAGTTTAAAAATAAGTCGTTTTTATACATTTTTCAGTTTTCAAGAAGCATTAGATTATCTAAAAGTATATGCAGCCTCACCTCACCAATTTTGTGAAAGTTTTAATCGCAGGAAAAAATTTTAGAGTTCATGGCACATCCAATTTACAGCTGATTCACACTGAGCAAGCAGTTCATCGTACAGTATGGTCCAAGCGTTAGATGGTACATATTTGCTGCCAACATACGAGAATTCACTCGTCATATCATTGATGTTTCTTCATTTACGACAAAATAAAAGTTTCACGTGAATGTTTCATCGCGTGAGCGTATCATCGTCTCTTGTTAGTGCTCCTCCTTCACAAATCTATGCATCGCTGTCCAGAAAGGGTTAGTGAAGCTTGGCGCATTAAATCGATATGATATTAAAAGAAAATTGATATTACACCGCGGAATAGTGGCTAGTTGACAGAATGCTGTCAAATTTTTCATCCTACTACTTTTGACATATTCAGGTCTTTGGTCCCTAGATTGCATGAGCACGTTGCTGACGCCCAGTCAACAGCTCGAAGTACCATATTGTCATAAACGACAGAAACTATGAACCTCAACGTCGGTAAGCAAAGAAGTGACTCGGATTCGTCCTGATTGTTGTTCAGGTTTTTTGAATCACTCCTCCAATATCTGACTGTGATTTAATATTAAATATATCAGATAGCTGAATTACGTATATCTTAGAAATTTCGCGAATTCCCTACGGGAAAAGAGTAACGCATTTCATAGGTAAACACATTTAATTGATTAACCGATTAGAAAGTGTGAAAGATGTTAAAATGCGCTTTTTTATTGTCCTCTTCAACCACCTCTGACTCCTCCTTACTCAGCCTCATACTCATAAGAGAGATATCGAGCCAGATTTAAACAGGCCTCCTTTCGTGCATTCGATGAAACTGATTGCAGAACAATTGGTGGTTCCTCTGGTTTCGCTATAAAAACACATTTATAGAAGATTCCATGAAATTATAACATTTATGCATCTTTTATATCATACGTTAGATATGTCATTCGTTGGATCTGAAATGTAGGCACCGACCATCTGTTATGGCAGTGAACTAGACCGAACCTCATTAACTTCGTCCATGGCGTCTTTAACATCGTAACTTTAATATCAACTAAATTACTTTTATGGTTGTACTTTTGTGATATGACCCATAATGACTGATCTGCTCTGGTACGTAACATCAAAACACAAAATCAAGCACAGATAATCTGTTTAGATTACGTTGGTTGACAGATTCAGCATAAGGATTAAAAGAATGGGGAGTTTAGCAAGGCACCGTAAGCAAAACAGATTCGCTGCACATTTTTAGCATTATAACGTACACTAAGTTGGCATAACATTCTCTGATTTCCAAGTATGAGATCATAGTTACATTATAACGATTTTTTGTAAGCAATTTCATATTCGAATATCTTGCTAAATTTCTGTAATCTTGACAAAGCAGACAGGGAAGAGTATCATCCTTAGTCCATACTGTTGATGAAGCCAATATACAAATTTTTCCCATTTTCACTGTTGTAAGTTTCCAAAATATTGATTGACGAAGATTGAGGGAAATGCTCCCTCTTAAATTTCAATATAATCTTAGGTTACGGCACAAGATGCGGTTTATTTATGCACAACGCAAATAATTTGATCAGTCGAATGACTGACCAGTGCCGACGTTTAGAGCCCTGGCTCAGGAGACATTTTTCAAGATCGACATGGTGAAATTTACAAGCTTTTGTCATCTGCAGAAGCCTATCACCTTAGGAAAGAAGTATCTTCCCGATCCTCAGCCAATCTGGCCAATACGTCATCGTCGTCATAAGCGGCCTGCTGAAAATAATTTGCCGTTTCTTTTAATAGCAGCAGTGTGCATAATGTTCTTCAGTTGGTCCGTTCTAGTTTGAAGTTAGAGTATCTGTGCCCTAGGAAGAACTTTTTCAAAAGTGCCAGCAATATTCTCTCTAACCGATTTATCACAAGTGATTAACAATCGATTTCTGGATTCCAGACATTCGTGGCTGCCGTACTGACTCACAAATATATGCTGACCTGCATTTCTCCAACGCATGCGGCCCCACCCTTAGTCATTGCCCCCTTTCGGCGACGTCGGTGAACTGTTGAAATTAGATCAGTGAGAATTTTGCGCGCCTTGCTTATAAAAATTCTTGTGCCCAGTCAACCTCGTTATTCGTTGGCAATTTCATTGAACAATGAATTAATCACGAAGTGTGTTTCGTACTCCTTTTCTTAGAAACAAATCATACGATAGAGACAGTGTGATTCGGTTATGCAAACTTCTGCGTCATGCTGTTAAGCTTCTTCCTCACGCGTTTGCCTCGATTCTTGACCAACAACTCATTGTAAAACCGATGACATCGATGGAAGCGAAGGGACACATTACGCAGGATGATAGAAATGCCAATGACACTAATCGCAGCATTCCTGTGTTCACTGACGTATCCAATCCCAAACGAATTCATCTAGTCAGACGGCGAGCAAAAGGAAAACGACTTGGCCAAATTTCTGGAATATCGGCCGTGTCATTCGCTTGTGGCCACGTGGAAAGTTCGTTTTTCAAGCACCGGGCCGATCACAGAACCAGATCACACTTTGGTAAATCGTGTGACCATCTTTTAAAAGTATGTTTTTATCGGTTGCCAGCAAATATCAGGCATTGCACGCTGCTCTGCATCACCTGGCAGCACGCACAACGGACTGTGCTGTTTTAAAATGCATGTTCTTCGTTGTCGATATGCTCATAAGTACGGAAAACGGAGTGTGGAGGAGGCATTCCGTGTTTAATGTTCATTTTTATGTATAAATATGCCTACGGATGATGGCATATTTACAGATGTCTGAACAGGCCCTTGTTCGGCCGTGCCTAGTGATGCGGTTCTGCACCCATGAACTGCCGGCGTTTATATGCCATGGGGCCTTGGCCTGCTTAAGTGGTCCCCTAGGCGTGCCATTGCGCCGCTTCAAGCCGGTATCAAAAGAGGAAGTGAAAGTTTAGAAACATTTATTCGTTTCCGTTTACATTTTCATTTCCTTTTACAATGCAAAATTATTGTTATCGAACCTCTTCCTGTCTTCACACAAAACTTCGATCGATGTTCACCAGTTCATTATCAGACTAGAGTCAATGCATATCGCAGAGGGTTCCAGGAGTAGGAAACATGAACGAGTGAATATCCATACTTTTACTTGCTTAGGCAACTTCTTGACTTTGTTATTCCAGAAAGGTTGCTCCCTCAAGGCAGATTTCACTGTCTATTGCGCAATCTCTTACCCTTATTTGCCACTGGGGTCGTTTAAGCAGGACGTGGTTCGGTGATACCTTTTGAACCTGCCGTGTCAGATGCGTCTCGCATCATTTTGTTCACTAGGGCCATCTCGCAGTGGCTGACAACGCGAATGCTTCATTAGCGGTACTCTTAATATACTACTGCAACTTGTCCTCCAAAAAATCAACCGAATCAGAGTTATGATGCAAAAGACAACCTCCACCGAAGTGTACCACACCAACCATATGAACTGCACAGCCAGGACTAAAAGAGGAGGTGCGGTAAATCTAAAGCAACTAAATAATATTCTTCTCAAACGGTCTCAGACCTATGCTGGTAAATCTCTCACCTAGCACCAACAATATAATTGTCATTAATCAAAGCTAGGTCTAACTCTCTGAAATGGTGACAACTGTTTTAAACAAAGGTTCGAACTTTAGTGCAAATAATAAATCTTTTCCCTACTTGAAACTATATTCAATATAGAAATTAAAGTCCCCTGTAAGCTTAATAAGAACATGGTAAAACCCTTAGTTTAAGACATTAAACCCCTGATAACTCAAA